CAAGTTTGAATGAAAACTGACAAAGCATGTCTAAAATACAACATTTTCAAAAAACAAGATGGCTGCCAGTCGGCCATTTTGAATCAAATCGCTAAACCACTGCATGTGCATATGTCCCACATAAAGTACTAGGCACGTGCAAAGAATGAACAGAATCGGTCCAAGGGATTCTGAGATACGACTCCGGACGGACGAAGGGACGCACAGACAGACGGAGACCGAATTATAAGTCCCCGTTTTCAGACTTCGTCCGAACAGGGACTAACAACAGACAATCAGTAATATGATTATCCCATGCTTTTGACAGTTTGGCTAAATAGATCATATTTATAGTTACTTTAGCTAATGTAGTGTTCAATGATACAGTATAAGTAATGATTACATTTAAGTGAAGCATGATAATACATAAAGGTTACTGTAAATGTTATAACACTCATGATTTTAATGTCAAAGAAATTCATTCAAGAATATGTATTGATAAACTGAATCATGTTATTGTGTTGAAAACATCTAATGCTGAGTAAATAAAGTTTTAGGTACAGTTATTAGTACTCACTCTTCCAGCATAGGATGTAAATATAAAGGGGAATGTCTGTCACGAAGTTGCTGTATAACATGTACACATAAACGTTGAAACATCTGAAAACAAATACACAATATCAGTGAATGGTGAAGCACAGATAGAATACTGATGCTAACAATATACAGAGGATCATTAAACAAGACATTAAAGACATTACCTGTCTCACTATTTGATTTGGACACTTGATCAGAATCTGCATCGGCCAACAGTCATCTCTAGCCATGAAATCCAAAAACCACTGAAAGCACAAAATGAAGATTATTTTACAAACAGAAGCTTATAGCTTTTTTTAAATACTGTATTTGCTCTATTAGAAACACTCTGTAATGTACATATCTGAAGCTACATGTACACTTCTAATGGAGCAAATACAGTATTCTGTTTCTCAGTTTTCTACATACAACATTTGAATTGAGCAAAAATGTTTCCATCCGCACATAATAGAAGTAAAATTGGCGTAATCAATGAATGCGATGCAACACATAAAAGAAAACAAACGAGGACAACATGTACAGATGTTTTCATTTTCAACAACAACTGCATTACTTTGCTGTGATACTCTGTGTTATGTTGTGAATCCCTATGATGTTCTGAGGTAGATATTTTAATGCCAAAACAGTTATAAATGTCACCATTTTAGGTGTTTTTAAAATTTATTAGCCTGTCTGAATGACATGAAGTGAAGCAACATTATTAGAAAACACTATTCACAACTAATAGGTCTAGTATTATTTAAGTTTCATAAATTCTTCAATATCTTTAACAAGACAGCATGATATTTTTTGTACGTTTTAGAGACCATTACATCTCATGCAAGTAACCTGCTACATCTTAAACTTGCTCGATAAGATGATAGGTTTATTCATAGACTCAAACTATTATGCAACATTTATAACCCATTTGAGTACCAATGTCAATTTTTGTTGTCATTCATCTATAGAAAAACTAATTGTACCTCGCATGCTGCTGAACAGGTGTTGAAATGCTTAGTCATCAATTCTATCCACTGTAACATTGTAGGTTTCTCTTTGGCATGTATTAGTGTCTCCAATACAAATGTTGTACTCAGCTGAAATGAAGCATAAGTCAGTGAAATCCCTTTTCCCCATATCAAGAGCAGCGATATGATCAACATGTGACTGTAAACTAACTGCACTGATAAACTCGCTGAGGAATGCCAGTATCACATTGGGTGTGGTAAAATTTAATGCATATAGCGTGGTTAACGAATTCATATGATGAACCCCGGTAACAAGTTATTTAAAATATTGTTTTTAGATACTACTAGCATTTGATGATGACAGAATGAAAGGCAATATTCAAATTGTAGGACAAAACTAAAAGGAATGTCAAATTAGTGAGCAGAGTTGACTAACTTGCTGCGCAAATACTTCTGAGACTTGCGTTAAAAACATTTTGAGCTCAGCAGTGTTTATCAACTCCATTACTTAACGTTATTAAACACAATATTTCTATGTAAATTCTAAAGAGTTTAGGTCATTAGTCTCACAGTACAATAGGTGATTTACTGTACAACTGCGAGATCTCGCGAGATGCATGAAAGACACGCGTCGAACGTCTGCCGCAAAAATCAAACGATTTGATTTTGAACTCGAATTTTTTTTATTTCGTAGCTCACATCGACCGGCCGATCTTTGACAGAGGAATATTGCATTCGAATATCCTCACTTAATCAAAATTGCCCATCATCAATTGTGTACAGCACATTATTGACATGGAAATGTCCCCCAAAATATTTTCGCGTTTGTCGAATCTCACGCGATGTTTGACGCCACTACGACGCTATGACCTTTGTTTGTCTTGTTTTTTACGTCTGATTTCACGCATAACGCGTGATTCTCGCAGTGAACAGAAAATGGTCTATTAGTATAAAACAAGGGGTATTTTTACTTCAAATTCAAATAGCCCATTCATATGAATTACTAAATCATACATTGGCCCGAATTTGCTATAATAGCATGGAGATAGTAGACGGGTTCTACTTTATTTGTATGGTTTTTAACCTTACCTGAGCAGCCATCAATTGCACTATCTTTGGTTCTGGCAGTGTTGTAGGTATAAAACTACACATACTCCACATGAGATTAACATAGGCATGGTCAAATATGTTCTTGTCTTGTTGAAACTGCATGTTATCTTTCCAAATCCACTGTAAATATTCAAAAATTATATTGTAACACAATATTATCGAACAATTCCAGATTCCCAAACTATTTGTGCGTTTGCGCATATTGCGTGACCCGCGGTCAACAAACCGGAAGGTAGGACAGATTTTGAATGTTCAAAATGCAGTTGCAGTACACCAATCATGTGTTTCCAACTCGCAACGTGAAAAATCCTCCCAAAATAAAGTGCCATCATCTTTCAACTAACTCGTATCAGGCAGCCTCTATTCTGCCTAAAAATCAACTTTTTTAACTGGTAATCCACCTTTCTCTACTGCTTATATAGTGCTTCTAGAAGTCCTCTTTTGTACCCACCCACACTAACTCACTCTGCTATCTTTAAAAACTATCTCTTACAAATGCTGCCGACTTCTTCTGGGGTTGCATGTATATTGTTCTTTGACTTTTTATATTCTGTCCTACCCTCACTGGTTGCTAGGTAGGTTACGCATATGCAAATAGAATTACATCGTGTACATCGTGAGAATTAAATTCTAGAATCCTCATTATTGAGTCAAGGGATCCTAAAGCTCTGTTTAAAGTTTGAGATTAGCCAATTAAATGACCTGTTACAAATGCACTTGACATGTGCATGTCCAAGGTGACTTCTTGAATTGAAGTGATTCATTTGTCAATGCTCTTTACGGGTCATTCAAAAGAAGCAATTAAACAAGATCATCATTACAGAAACATTATAAAAACTATGACATTCATACCTCAGCTAGTTCTTTGGATAGTTCAAACTTTGGGAGTGGTTTATTCTTAGCTGCTTCATCAGGTTCACAACGCTCATAAAATAACATATATGCACTATGTGTCTGTAAAACACAAACATATAGCCACAGACAGATGGTTATTAGTTGAAAATCACTGAGTAATCATTATGAGATTCACTTTCAACAATTTTAACTCACCTTCTCAAACGAGAAGTCCATGAACTTATCGGTGACAGAATCGTACGTCTTCGTCTGCAAAAGCGGATAAATATTCTCATGAAAAAAAAATAACTAGAACACACATGGTTTTAAAATAAATCTGTAGATATTGCAATGGTGGTAAGGAGATTATCGGGTATCACTGTAAAACATAAAGCCTATCAAGGTATGAAAAGATGTACTACAATGACTATCCTTACTGCATTTAATACAGACACACATTTCATTTGGTGATGCAACTACTGTAGAATACTTTATTTTTGCTTGGAATTTATTTTCGCTGAAGGGATGATTCCGTGAAAATAAAATCCAGCGAATATACTTTTTTTACTATATTTCACATTAAACTCATCAAATATCAGTGAAAATAAATTCCATATAAAACGCCCAAAAAGCCTTTTCAGCGAAAATTAATTGCAGCGAAAAAAAGTATTCCACAGTATTTGTAATTGTGCTAATTCCCTGGAGCATCATTGATGCATCAGAAAAACACAAATTGGTATAATGAGTCTTTATAGTAGTACAGTATTACAGTCACATACATGTGTATAATCTTTATTTTTTTTCTTAGAGACCTTTTCACTAAGTACCAACAGTCAACAAGCTGATCCAACTTGATTTTGACTCAAAATCTACAAAATCAGTGGCATTATGAGACACACACTGTTTGTCATTTACTCAAAAAACAGTCAGAATATATTGTCATATCTTAAACTTACAGTCATTTCACCACCAAAACACTCTGATGCAATCTGTGTAGAGTCAAAGGATTTGACCTCTGCATCATTAAACATAAACCATTTATCTTGTTTGCCTTCTTTTCTGTGGATACGATCTCTAATAAAACTATAGTAATGACCTCCATCAGCCGTTCCAGTGTGTACAGTCACACCAATTAAATTATACAAATATTTAGTACTGCTCTCGGATTTCTTCTCATCTTCATCATGGACTGTGTGTGGAAAGAAAGATATATGAAAGGTTATATTACCTTGTCCAGTTAGTTTCCAATATTAGTAAAACAGAAAACTGCCATTATCAAAAAGAGTTCTACATTTTGATGTAAATTTATTTTAATAACTTAATGTTTTTCATGAATTTACTGAAAATTATGAACAAAAGTGCCATGATTTGTCAGTTGTCATGTATGCGTTTCAATCAAATACCATCCATATATTCGTCTGCAATTTATCAATATGGAATTGGGATGAACATCACCTACCTTTGTTGTCAGACATCAAAGCTTCTTCTGTGTAACCATACATATCAAGTTTAAATGGAAATGAAAAATGTGTATTGACTTTCTCTTTCATCATTGTGACCATATTAAATGTATATCTCATGGTGTTGAAAGACAGGATACGAGGTAATGTCTTGAAACACGCCCTAAATTGAACAAAAAGCATATATTACATGTAAACGTTAATAATTTCACTCATTTCATGCAATCAAACCTTTCAAATCGTCTTCTCAATTCAGTGATCCTATTGGGTAAAGAATATGTTCAACTGATGCGCATTAAGAACAGGATCTTTGCGAGACACTTGCAAATTCAAATAAATATCAAAGAAAGCTTAGAAAGAACTCCTGTGTTCTGAGGGAATAGGGATCATGATGTAATATTCGGGAATATTTGAAAATGATAAACAAATTATGAATAATATATTAAATAAGGAGCCACCAGTAGTCATCTACACACATAGATATCTTTTCCTACAATAAGCCTACTTAAAAATATGCATAAAAAAAATTCTACACAAAATTGAAACAATAAAAAGAAAACTGAAATAATTCATAAAACGTTGGGGGAAATGAAATGCAACGAAAATAGTAAACAAATAAATGCCCAAAATAAACTTATAAGGCATTTAAAAATATTTTAGGAATTCAGTTAACACAGAAAACGTAAAGTAGCAAGAACAACTATGTAAATTTCTGACAAACAATCACAATCTAAATATCTAAAATTCAAACCACTATCTTAATATCAATATGTGTGTCAATAAATATTATATTTATTTATTTTCAGTTACGTATATTAATAAGGAAGGCATCACAATCTTTTCGATTGGTTCGTATATCCCGAAAATCGACATGGTAAAATTACAACCATCATACAGCTCAGTACCATAACAAATATTAATAATTTACGGCAGACGTACTTCTCGGTACAAAATTCAAAGTAATTCCCAACGCGTCTCATTTGTTACTGCGTATAAATTTACACTATCTGGGGCACGTCGCACGCAATGAGTACCAACCAAAAATACACACAGGACATTTTAAGTGGCTTGAAACAAAACCTTATCGCTAATTTTCGTTTCGAAAACATCTACGATGGCTTAAAACCCTGCAGCCCGTCTCGCATGTTTTTTTGTTTACCAGGCAGGAGATGCCAGTCAGCGTGGCGTTGCCCCAGTGGTTTCCACTGTGCATCCAGTAGTTAATGCCAACATCACGGTCTATACATGAAGCATGGTATATCATATTTTCTTTTTTGCTTCATGGCTTAACTTAATAGGAACAGTAACTCGAGCAATAAATGTGCCTTCCGATTTGAGGGATATCGTGCCGTGTAATATTCAATGAAAAAAATAGTGAAACACGAGGCTTACGCTGGGGGCCCACATAAGGTGTTGCAATAGTGTAAATATAACAAAGCCAGACACCAATTGTTTCCTTTGCTAGGTAAAATCAATGTACCGAATAATCGGATGAAACAACAAAAGTAAACTAGGATATATTAGAGCCAATGAATTCGTAATTTCAGATGAAAAATACCCCTCATAACAAATCGCCGTCATAACAAATCATCGTGTTGAGGGGCGGTGAACAAATGAGACACCGATTGTCAAATTGTTTTGGTAATCATCGCATGTCGATTCATGTCATTTGTACAGAGTACTCTGACACAAAAATAAGGTAAACCAGCTTACTTAGTGCTAATGATTTTGTGATTTCCCACACGAAGAACGTTCTCAGAAATAATCCGACATGCTGATCAGCCCACCAAAAATCGGCACCAAAATTGATCACTCCTGTCACT